AGTCAAAATCTAAAGTAAAAGGATACTAATAAAATCATGAGTAAATTGGAGAATGATTCAACAAGAGAAAATTTAACTAGGGATCTGCGCAGAGACTATTAAATCCTTGTAGTCTGCTATCCAAGGAAAATAGTTCATTATTGCTTTGCTAAAACAATGAATTCTTCTATGTGCAGTTTTCCCGTGTCTCATTTATTTATTTTAATTCCTCGATTAATATGTCTCAATTTATTCATTTTAATTCCTTAATTAATTATGGCTCTTTCCAATTTGTTTGTTCTCTTGGCAGTCTATGGTGCTGGACTTCACCCATATTCTTCACCAACACCATAAATCAAATGCATCAATTCTTCTCTGGTCTTCCTTATTCATTGTCCAGCTTTCACATGCATATGGAGGCCATTGAAAATACCAAGACAAGGGTCAGGTGCACCTTACTCCTCAAAGTGGTATCTTTGGTCTTTAATACTTCAAAGAGGTCTTTTGCAGCAGACTTGCATAATGTAGTATGTTGGATTTCTTGACTACTGCTTCCATGAACATTGATTGTGGATCCAAGTAAAGAGAAATCTTCGTCAATGTCAATCTTTTCTGCTTATCATGTTTATTGGTCCATTGGGAGGATTTTTATTATCTTTACAAAGAGTTGCTATCCATATTGAAGACTATATTAATCGTCATCAGCAAGTGTTTCAAGTCCTCTTTCAACAAACAGGGTGTGTCATCTTTATTATTGCGGGCTGTTACTGAACCTTCCGACAATTCTAATGCCATGTTCTTCTTCATATAGTCCAACTTCTCAAATTATTTGCTTAGTATACAGATTGAAAAGGATATAACCATGATGTATGGCTTTCCTGATTTAAAATCATTTAGTGTCTCCTTGTTCTGTTTGAATAATGACCTCTTTATCTCTGTACAGGTTCTGCATGAGCACAATCAAGTATTCTGCAATTCCCATTCTTCAGTGTTATCCAGAATTTGTTATGATCCACAGTTGAGTAACTTTGTATAGCCAACAAAATATGTTGTTGTTGTTGTTTGGTGTCCTTGAGTCAGTACCAACTTATAGCAACCCTATGCACAACAGAATGAAACACTGCCTGGGCCTGGGCTAACCTCACAATTGTTGCCACGCTTGAGCCTGCTACCACTTTGCCAATCCACCTCCTGGGGGAGTCTTCCTCTTTTTTTTTTGACACTCCACCTTAGGAAACATGATATCCCTCTCCAGTGACTGGTCCCTCCTGAACCAGAAGCATAAGAGATGAAGTCTAGCCATCCTGGCCTCCAAGGAACACTCTGGCTGTACTTCTTCCAACAAAATATAAACATTTCTCTGGTGTTCTTTGCTTTGAGACAAGATCTATCTGACTTCAGGAATGATTCCCTCACTCTACATTCCTTTGGAATCCAGCTTAAATTTCTGGCAGCTCCCTGTCACTGTACTGCTGCAACCATTTCTGAACTATCTTCAGACACATAATTATAAGACCACAGGATTATGTCCCATGACAGACATGATGTATGATGAATTAATGAACATAGAGCAAGAGACCTTAACTCAGTAGGATGTGTGTAGTGTGTTGCTATGATGCCATTCAAATACCAGTAGGATCAGACATGGTAGAAAAATTTCAATGAGCTTCCAGACTGAAACAGATTAGGAAGAGAGGTCTGGTGATCGAGTTTCTAAAATTAGCCAATGAAACCCAGATCATAACAGATTATTGTCTGGCACAGTGTTAGAAGATGAGCCTCCTAGGTTGGAAGGGATTACACAATCACCAACACATCAGATTCGAAACTACAGACCATGAAGATGACACGGAAGTGAGCAAATAGGGGTAAGGAGACCTGGTGGTGCAATGATTAAGTGCTCGGCTTAAACTGAAAGATGGGTGGTTCAAATTCACGCAGCACCTCCGAGAAAGACCTGAGAATCTGCTTCCATAAAGAATTACAGCCCAGAGTACTCTATGGTACCATTCCACTCTGCTCTATCTTGGAGTAGTCTCCATGGCAAGGGATGTTTGGATTGAGTTTAAACATAAGGTCTCCAGGAGTCAGAGCCAACTTGACAACTAACAACATGGATGGATGCTGGAAAGTCGTCACTGTGGCATTCTGGTACAGGTGAGGGGTGAGGTTTGAATCGCCATGGGGATGAATTCATTTGTGAATCTTTCTCCATTCTCTCCTCTGGTATCCTCCCCAAGAAGCCAAGAGCTCAGCACGGAAACCAAAATAACATTATTTAATTCCAATTATCACACCCAACCAACCACAGTTCCCTGCTCCACCCCATCCCTCCAAACTCCCAGTCATTCCGAGAAGGAAAGAAGGCAGAAGCCTCTAGGCTTTGGAACAATCGGAATATCACTCCGCACTTCTGTTTTTTCACTTCCCATCTCCCATTTCTTTTGTCTTGCTTCCTGTTTTCTTGACTCTTCTCTATCTTTGTCTCCTCTCCTCCCCCTTTGTCCCAGTTCTGCTCCTTCTCTTGTCCTCTTTCATTTTTGTGTCCCTCTTGCATCTTTTCTCCCCTTACCTCTCCTTCACGTGTCTTCTAATTCTATGCTTTCTCCCATGCCCCCTCCACTACTTGGACTGATGAGTCCCGACTGACTCTCCCCATTTCCTATGTCCTTCCCCAATTCCCAACATTCTTACACTCTCTTCCAGCATTGCCCCCTTTCTGCCTCCTGCCCTGGCCTGTCCCCATCAACATCTGTCATCACACATTTCCTCTCCTGAGGGAATCCACCAGAATCTACCCCGGCCTGCACCCTCCTCTGCAGCTGTGGCATTAAGGTCTCTGAGGATATTGTCAGCTTCCCCTCTGATCCAGAGAAGCAAACTGACAAGATGAGGTCCCTGGATTTCCCAGGAGGTGGTCAGAAGGACTGGGGAGGCCTCCTAGGCTTCAACCCTGTTATCTTTGGGATTAAAAAATGTCCTGTCCCCCTCTACTCAGAAGGTGTTGAGTGGGGCCTGAGGAGTTAGGGATCTGGGGCTCTGCCCCAGCAATCCCTGAGCAGGTCCATGTGGAATAAGGCTGCCCCGGTGAGGAGGCGTGCAGCAAACAGATGGCGACAGGGCAGACGCCGGGCAGCGTGGATGGAACAGCTGCATCGGGTCAAGGCTGCATCCAGGAAGAAGTCCGAGGTGCCATCTTTGAGGGCAAAGCCTGCTCCCGACCAGTGGAAACCCTGGGTCCCATGCTGCCTGGCAAAGGTCAGCTCTTCTGCCACAAGGTTAGCCAGTTCTGGCCCACAGGCTGCTCGGAACTTGGCTAGGGGCTCCCAGTCCACTTCTTCTCCAGGTGGGCAAGACAACCTCTTTGATTCCTTTGGCCTGTCTCTTCCACCTCCATCTGAGAGGTACACCTTCTTAGACACCACCCATTCTGGAGCCCCCTCAAACACAGCCCCTACGGGCATGCTGGACAGAACTCCATTCCCCAGCCCTGAACATTTTTCTCCAGAGTCCCTCCACTCTACCCCTTTTCCTGCTCTGTGTTTGGGGTTCATAGGCCAGGTTCTCACTTCATCTCCATTCTCCAGGCTTGGAACCCTTGCATCCCCCAGCTGAACCAGAACCATGTCCTCCAGTCCCTTGCTTCTGACGTCCAGACCCACTCCGCTCTCTTCTCCAATCTCTGGTCCTCTCCTCCTCTCGTTTCCCCACAGGGGCCCCCTTGGGTCTCCATTATCAGGGACCATCTGAGTCTTCTCCAAATGGCCTCCTCTGCAATTTCGCACATCTATTCCTCTCCTCCTTTCCCCCTCCAGCTGTGATTCCTTCCAGTCTCTGGTTTTCAAGTTACTGGACCTTTCATCCTGCGACTGGATCCAGGGGTTCCTTTCTGTGGTCTCCAGCACCCCGATCCTTGGATCTTCCAACTGGATCCCTCTCCACGTGTTCCCCTGTAGACTCCTGGCCCTTTGGTACTCACACGGGGTTGCCCTACCGTCTGTGGTTTCCGGGGCCCTGGTCTTTCGCTCTTCCAACTGGGCATATACTTCCAATCCTCTCAGTTCTTGTTTATCCTGCTGGCGCCCCCTCTGGAGGTAATCTTCCGTCCCCCAGTCTTTCTCGCCCCCCAAGAGGGCCCCTCTCCAGTCTCTGATTTCTGGGGCTCTCACATGCTCTTTCTCCATAGGAGCCAGCCCTCTTACCTTGGGGGTTTCCAACTGAAGCCTTCTCCAATCTCTGAGTTGCAAGCCCCTCCCCTTCTCACTTTCTAATCGCGCAGTTCCCAGGTTCCGGGTCTCCAGCCCTCTCTCCCACTCCTCCAATGGGGCCCCTCTCCAAAGAATTCCTTCCTTCATAGCTCCTCCCCAGCCCCCTGTTTCCAAACCCTTCATCCTCTGGCTTGACACCTGGGTCCCTATCCTCAGCTCGCCCTCCAGCCACTGGCCCCCGCCATCGGGAACCTGGGGCGCCGACTCCAGGGCCGCGTCGGTCCACTGCATGGCCACCAGGTCTCGGAGGCACTGTGCCTCGCTGAGTGACGGGCTGAGGCGGCATAATAAGCGCCGGCGGTGGCCACGCACCAGGGCGCAGGCGTCCAGGCCTCCCGCCGCTTCGAAAGCGCGGAAGCGGACCCACATGTCGCGGCGCGGCGCCCAGTTGCGCTCAAAGTAGTCAACAAAAGCGGCCGGGCCGTGGGCGCGAAGCTCCGCCAGCGCTTCCGAGTAGGCAGTGGGCGAGGCGGCGCCGGTTAGACGGCACAGGCGCGGCCACAGGCCCGGGTCCTCGCAGCCTGTACCGCCCAGCTCCTGCGCTTTGCTGAACAGCGTTTCCAGGCCCTGCGCGCGGCAAATCTGCACGCGCGCGCCGGGCAGTAGCTCGCGAACGGCGGGCAACTGCCCCGCCACCTCGGGCCCGGCGGTCAGGCAACGCACGCGGTCCTTGACATCTGGTGCGCTCTGCAGCAGCGAGGCCAGTGCGAAGCGCAGCAGGCTCGGCGTGCCCCGGCGCGCCACGCAGCAGGCGGCCTGGCGCGCGCGCCCCGCGCTGTCCACGCACAGCACCACCAGCAGATCCAGCGACCCCTGCAACCCCGGCAGTTGGTCCACCAAGAGCATGCGCGGGAAGCGCCTCAGCAGTGCCCGAGTGCGAGACGTCAGGAAAAACACGGTCTCCACCATGGCCTGGTCCTCCACGAACACCAGCTTCACCTGCAGGGACAAGGGGTGGAGAAAAAGGAGTCACTGGGGACTGGGATCGCCTCGCCTAGCTCCCAGAGCCGTTTCACGCTTTTGGGAAATGTATCCATCCATCCGTCTGCCACGTTTATCGTTCTGTCCAGCCATCCAGCCATCCAGCCATCCATTCATCCGCCAACTCGCCAGCGCGATAGTCACTTCACCTTTTCTCTATCTATGCATAAACCCACCCACCCACCATCCATACCTTTGGCGTCAGGAGGCAGTCAGTGCAGAGCAATGGTAAAAAAAAAAAACAACAAAACATAATATAGAGCCAATTTGCCTAGGTGTCTAAAATCGGTTAATGGTTAAACCAATTTGCCTAGGTGTCTAAAAGTGGCTAATGGTTAAGCGCTTGACAGCTAACCGAAAGTCTGGCAGTTGGAACCCACGAGCTGCTCCGCAGGAAAAAACACCTGGCAATTTATTACCGTAAAGATTGTTGTTAGGTGCTATGAAGTCTGACTCAGTGATAGAGTAGAACTGCCCATCTAGGTTGTTTGTTTTGCAGGGGTGGGGTGGGAAGGGGGAAGCAGCTTTGGTTAAGTCCTTGGCTGCTATCTGAAAGTTCAGTGCATTAGCTGCTCTGCTGGAGAAAGATGTGGCTGTTTCTGTAAAGATTTGTTGTTAAGTGCCTTCGAGTCAGTTTGACTCATAGTGACCCTGTACAGGGTTTCCGAGGCTGTAAATCTTTATGGGAGCAGAAAGCCTCATCTTTCTCCCATGGAACAGCTGTAGTTTCGAACTGCTGACCGTGAGATTAGCATCCCGATTCATAACCACTATGCTACATCCTTGGAACCTGTATGGGGCAGTTCTAGCCTATCTTACAGAATTGCTAGAAGTTGGAATCAACTATATGGCAATGGATTAATCTTTAGGGTAACAGACTGCTACGTCTTTCTATAGCTCCAGATTAGCAGGTAACCACCATTGTGCAACTAAGATGTCTTTCCTAACGATACTCTGAAGATTAAACCCTATGGGGCAGTTCTACTCTGGTACCGGGGATGGCTACAAGTTGAAACTTGCTTCATGACACCTAACAACCACCACTGAATAACTGTGTGATTTACTTAGCCCCCTGAGCCTCACTGTCCCCTGCTGGGATCTGGGGGCTCATCCCTTCAAGCATGGAAGAGGCAGCTTAGGACAGTGGTTGTCAAAGTGCAGTACTGACATCACCTGCTGGAACCTGGACAGAAATGAATGTCCTTAGGCCCACCCCAGACCTAGTGAATCAGCAGTCTGGGTTTTGAAAAGATTTCCAGGTGATTTCAATGCACACCCAAGATTGAGAACAGTTGCTTAGCGGTAAAGGGCCAAGTGGACTGAGTTTGAATCTCAGCTCCACCATTTCCTAACAGTTATCATGCTGTGCGTCAGTTTCCTCCCTAACTTCTCTAACAGAACAGGCCTTGTTTTACCTACTCTGAAGTAAGTATGTGCACACAGAGGAATTTCTAGGTGTTGCAAATGGTTAACACCCTTAGCTGCTAACTGAAAGGCTGGGGATTAAGTATACCCAGAGGAAGAAAGGTCTGGCAATCTTCCAAAGCCCCAGCCATTGAAAGCCCTATGGAGCACAGTTCTATTCTGACATACCTGGGGTCACCATGAAGTGGAGTTGACTACATAGCAACTGGTCATACAGGAAGACCCCAGCGCCATTGCAGGTTCAGACCATGGCAATAAAGCGATTATTGCAATAAAGCAAGTCACACTTTTTGTTTTTGTTTCCTGGTACATATAAAAATGACGTTTACACTTTACTATGAGCTATTAAATGTGTAATGTTGTTGTTAACTGTTACTGAGTTGGTTCTGACTCACAGTGGCCCTGTATACAGTTTTCAAGGAGTGTCTGGTGTGTTTGAACTACCAATTTTGTGGTTAGCAATCCAGTGCTTATCCTACAGCATTACACCAGGATGAAAAAGCTTCAACTACTGTGAGAAGGATCCACCACATGTAGCTGGTGGCTACCATAGTGGACAGCGCAGAATCATAGAACATTTCCATCAACTGCAGAAAGCTCTACTGGGCAGCACTGCCAGGTTACAGGATGAATTCTCTGAGGGCAAGGTCCATCTGTCTTGGTTGATGCTGTATCCCCAATGCCTGGCATTCAATAGGCACTTCTTAAGTACTTATTAAATTAACGATTGAATGAAATGCATGAATACATGAATGAAAGGCGTGAATACATGAATGAATGAGTGATGAATGAAAGGAGTAGATGGATGAGTGGGTGAATGAAGGAATAAAGGAACAGAGTAGTTGGATCAATGAATGAAAGGAATGGATGAATGGATGAGTGGAAAGATTGAATGAATGGAGTAGATAAATACATAAATGAATGGAATGGGTGGATGAGTGGACAAATGAATAAATGAATTGATTCAAAGAATAGAGGAATGAATGAAGTAGCAGGATGAGTAGGTGGACAGATGGGTGAATGAATGAAAGGAGTGGAAGGATGAATGAAGGAATGAAAGTGGGATGAATGAATGAATGAGTTGAGTGAATGAATGAATGGAATAGAGGGATGAATGAATGAATGAAATGAGTGGAGGGATGAGGCATGAACAAAGGAGTAGAAAGATGCGTGAATGAATGAGTGGATGGATGAATGAATGAAGCGGAGGATGAATGAGTGAAAGGAGTGAAGAGATGAATGCATGAAAGAAGTGGATGATGCACGAATGAATGAATGGCCCACCAGTCTTCTGAGTGGGTCTCCCCCACCCTGTCTTGCCTCTCCAGAGACTCCACCTTGGCCTCCGGGTCGGTGCGGAAGAGCTCCTCAAGCACGTGGAGGGCGTCCAGGACGCTGTGGTCACGGCTCTTGCAGTAGGAGAGCAGGTGGCGTATGTCGGCCAGGGCCACAAACTGTTTGGAGATCTTGTTGGTAGTGCGCACAGGGAGGCAGGCGTTGGCCAGCAGGTGGCCTGGGCGGAAGTAGTAGGCGAACTCAAGTGGGCAGGTGGGGTGCGAGTGGGTCAGCTGGCACTCCGTCACCACAAGGCGGTCCCGCAGCGGGCTCAGCTTGATGATGATGAAGGCTGGGCAACCAGGCTTGGGGGGCCTGTGGAAGGAATGACCACCGCAGCCGTCACATCACCCTGCCCTCGTCTTCCTTTTCTTTCTCTCTCTTTAACAATTATTTCCAGCATGGAGGAAAAAACAGAGGGCCTTACAAATATGCTGTGTGACCTTGGACAAGTTAAAGTCCCATGTTTCTGTTTCCCGATAGGTTAACACTAAAACTCAAACCCTTGGCTGTGGAGGCAATTCTGGCTCACAGTGACTTCATGTGTTACGGAGTAGAACTGCTCTGTGGGGTTTTCTTGGCTGTTATTTTTACAGAAGCAGTACATCAGACCTTTCTTACATGGTGACTCTAGGTAGGTTGAAACTGTCAGCCTTTAGGCACAAACCACTTGCACAACCCAGGAACCTTATCATATGTTAAAAGTGTGGGTAATAATAATAATACATTTCTCATTGGACTATTGTGAGGATTAAAAGAGTTGATAGGTGTGGTTCTATAAGACCAGCACTGGACTGAGAACTATAGGGTTGGTGGTTCAAACCCACCAGCTGCTGCTTGGAAACCTTATACAGGGTCGTTATGAGTGAGAATTAATTGGGCAGCTCTTAACAACAGTATATGTAAAGCACTTGAGTTCAGTGTCTAGAACACGTTCAATGCTGTCTGTAAAGCACTTGAGTTCAGTGTCTAGAACACGTTCA